CCCCAAAACCCCAAAACCCCAAAACCCCTAGAATCAATGTTTGAGATTAATATTTGCGTGGAATTTATAGATATTTTACAAAATCAGATAATTTTTATTTATACATAAATGAGGCCTACCTTATTGATGTTCAGGTCTCCTAAGGAGAGGACCCCAGGCTATCATGACATTAAGGTAGATAATTAGGATTCTAAACTTGTTTTTAGGTTAAAAATGATGGAACCAATTTAGACTATGGTGCATTAGATTTCTTCAAGTATAAGTTCAACAACAGTTTTAATGGTAGAATTATGTCTGCTGGAAGGCAACTCAAGAAAAAATCTAATAACATTTTACTATACAAGTAGCCATCAAATTTCTCCTAATATGAAAGATTCCCTGAATACAGAATTTTAAAGAAAAAAACTCCAGCAGATGTGGGTCCAGGTTGTTATAATGTATAAAGAACTCTAGATTTGCTTAAATAAAAGCCATGTCCTTCTAAAATAAAACACTCTTACTTTGGCAAAGTTTCAGGGACTCCAGGATACATATTTATAGGCAATTAACTAGTTTATGATGAAGAACTTGCTTAAAGATCACAAAGCAGAGGTAGATAAGTAACAACTTCATAGCTTAGTAATCGCAGTTCTCAGAAATAAGAAAGCATATTCTAGTCTAATATAAAATGCAGAGGTCATCTATCAAAGGATGTCATTATCAAGAAAAGTAAGTGCAAATAAAGTAGTAGAGATTCTGGTAACCTTAGTCTTTTATAATATAGATCTGGTGAAGAAGAATGCCAAATAGAGACTATCAATGTAACTGTAGCATCAGACTTCTTAAAATTTGAGAGATGAGAGAACAACATCAGGAACTAGATCATAAAACAATCAAGATCAAGCAAATGGCTAATCTTACAGATAATCTTTCGATTTGAAAAGGGCTTAATTTCCGTAAGATTATCAATGGTTATTGATTTGTATAGACAAAAAACAAGACAAGATGAGATAACTCAATTGAGAATAAACTAAGTTAACGCTGTTAATAATAAAAGACTTGGCAAAAAATGCCTAAAAAAAAGAGACATAAGTTATGGGTTCAATTAAAGAAGAAAGTCGAACGATATTTAGTAGATCGTAGATACCTAGATGAATGAGATGACTCTAGGTGTTGGGAGTTAAGTCTCAAAGACTCAAACTTCTAATAGGGCTAATATGTAAGAATTCAAATGATAATAAAGAATTTCTTAGATCTTAAGATTCACAGAGATTGATATATGGTAATCAAAGTGTCTTACAGCAAATGATGATTCAAAATTAAAAAGGATACCAAAGTCTTTATCAGTACAAAGGTCAGAACAACTCAATGCAGGGATCTAACAACACTTATTAGAGAGAAATGAATATTACCAACATTAACGATTCCTCTACTTAGGCTGCTTCGATGAATAATAGCAATGTAGTCAAAAGCCATCATATCTATTGATATTGATTGACACCGAAATTTATAGTAAATCCTTTAAAGCATAAAGCTCAGACCAAACCTCTATTTAATCAGTAGGGGTGATTAGTATTTGTTATTTATTAAGTTCAGGATTGTTTACAAAGTTAATTAATCCTCTATTTGATTAATATATATATTTAAAAATCCCTAATTTTACAGGAAATTAAGCAAATCGGGGTTTTGGGGTTTTGGGGTTTTGGGGTTTTGGGGTTTTGGGG